ATGGCAACCATGACAGCTGAAGAGCTTCGTGCCGAGATCGAGGCAATCAAAATGCGCGAGCAACAGGAAGAGGCCAGAGTGAAGCGTCTCCAAACGGAGGTAAGTGAAGCAACCGAACGACAGCGGCTCCGTCGAGAGCTACACCAACGGCGGGCACGCTTGAATGAGAAGCGGTCTATCAGCAGGACTGTGGCGGAGTACCGGCAGAAGATTGACGCAGATCAGCTCGGTGCCTATGATCTGACACATGATAGTGCTCTGCCCAACTATGTGCCTGTAGCTCGTGGTGAAGAAAACACGCGGTTTGCCCAGAGGGTCGCCAGGGGCGAGTACACGTGGAAGCTGAAGCAGTTCTCATGGCTGCCAACTGTGCTGCGCCAGCGAGAAGAGACAGAGGTCAGCTCGGATCATTTCCAAGTGGGGAGCTACTTGTTTGCCTTTGTCTACAGCCCTGCTGCAGGCTTGCTGAGCATGAGCGTGGATGGAGCCCAGTACGGCTCGCTTGCCATATGCATACAGACAGACGACGTGATCGCACTTCGCTACAGCATCTTGGTAGCCCAGTGGTAACCTTTACCCCCTTTTTTTTGTTGTGGGTTCCCTTACAAAAGTAACCAACCCCAAAAAGGGTGCCCTTATCGTAATGTGGCTTCTGGGCTACCAAGGCATCTACGTCAAGCGGCGCGGCGGGGACTATGTCCAGTGGGGTGAGACACGAGACGCAGTCAATGAGGCTGCTGAGAGTTTTTACGGGCCCGACGTGCATTCCACAGGTTCACCTCCCGCAGCTGTCGGAATTTTTGGTTTGACCCACGAAGAGCTGCTGCAATCCGAGTGGGTGGAGGATGACACTTTGACCGCGAAGTTCGTGCTGGAAGTGCGTCCCAACGAAGCGTACCTGTCTGAGTGTCTCGACCAGACTGTCGAGGTTCCAGCGCCGACTGTGGACCGAGACTTGAGGGCCTTGCTTGACGAGGGCACTTGCAGCGATCTTCAATTCAGGGTACAAGGCGAAGTGATCCACGCGCACTCGCAAGTGCTTTGTGCGAGATCCGAAGTCTTCAAGTTGCAGCTCTCTTCGGGCATGCAGGAATCTGTGTCCAAGGTGATCGTCATCGAGGACTGCGATGTCACCACCTTCAAGTCCTTCCTGCGGTTTCTGTACACCGATAGCCTACCCACCGTGGAGGAGCTCATCGAGCCAGCCAAGCCAGTCCGTGAGGGAAACCGGCAGTCGGCTGTTGCTCATGCCTTGTGGGCTGTCAGCCACAAGTACCTCCAGCCCCCTTGGGGAACTCTTTCTCCATTTTTTATATAAAGCACAACGGGATGTTAAACATATTGTTTTTTTTTTTGAAGGCTCTAAGGGGAAACTAGGTACCAGGCCACGAGGCTTCAGCGGTGGTGCGAAGCGCAGCTGTGCGAACGGCTCAGTATATCAGAAGTGTGCGACATCCTTTGCCAGGCTCATGTCTTTGAGGCCTTAGGGGGCACTGGGTAGGGAACCTTGAACCATTTTTTGGTTATGTAGAACCCTTCTACATACAAAAGGTTAACCTTTTTTGGTTATATAGAACCCTACTATATACAAAAGGTTGGGCTGGGGCATTCAGCCCCTAATAGAGGCCAAGCAGCTCGAGAATGCCTGCCTCTCTTTCATCAAGGACCACGCGGCGGAGGTGCTGAAGCTTCCAGCCTATGCCGACTTGAGCAGCAGATGGCCGGAGCTGGCGATGAAGCTTCATCTCTTCTCTTCCGGCTTGCCAGAAACCGATATAGCTGACATAGTGCAGGCCTCCAAGCTACGGAGGCTTGAGAGTGGGAAGGAGAGGGCATCGTAGTGCACAGCTGGTGCATTACCCGCATGTCGTAGATTTATGTACCTGTGCTGCGCCCCACACGATTCATGGATGACGGTGTTTGTTTTGTTTTGTTTTTGTTTGTGAGTGCTTATACAGTTCGATCGAAAGTTGAAGTCTTGGTTACAAGCGTGCGATTGTTGCAGGTCAAGCGTGCAAGTCAACAAGCGTACGCGAAACCTGCTGCGTTACTTGCGTTACCATTCTTAAGATTCTTCGAGTGCGTTTTATCGGCGTGTGGTTCTAGTTCCTCCTCGGGAAGTTTCAACAAGCAATCCCGAACAACCGTAAAAGTCTGTGTACTAGACAGTCGCGCGCAGGCGCGCGCGCGCGCGTCAAGCGAAGATGGGCGGCCGCACTGCCAGAGGGCCCCATGATAAATCCCAAACCCCTAAACCCCTAAACCCCAAATGCCTACATTTTGGGCCAGGGGGGGGGGGTGATCTACAAGCTATGGGCCCTATTTTGGCACCACGAAACTGTGTGCTTGCAACCTGCGCGCTGGCGTCTGCCAGTATGACCTTGAGAACTTTGGCGCGGCCGCGTTAAAATGTCCTGGGAGCTGGTGGGTTCAGGGTGTAGGGTTAAACCCTAAACCCTAAACCCTAAACCCTAAACCCTAAACCCTAAACCCTAAACCCCCGGTTTGAGGGTTTCTTGCTTCGCTCCCTGGTCCTCCGAAAGCCCTAATCCCGAAACATTGGTTTAGGGTTTATGGTGCACGGTTTAGGGTTTTGGGGTTTGGGTACCGAAATTAAGCATCTCTCATGTTATGCCCGAAAGCCGTACAGCAGACCTTAACCCGCATCGCCCCAATCTAGAACACAAGGGTATAGGCCACTAGGTAGGCCCCTGGAACATTTCATATTTTCATATTTTCCCTTATTGGGTTTAAGTGGATCATATCCAGAAATAAGTACCCTAAATCCCAAACCCGTAAGCCCCACACCCGCACCGAACAGCTCCCATCCTGAACCTAAACCCTAAACCCTAAACCCTAAACCCTAAGCCCCAAACCCTAAACCCTAAACCGCCCCACGCGGCTCCCCGCCCAGGTTCGCCTTGTACTTGGTGGGGGGCGCCGTGACGCTGAGCTGCAACATGGTGTTCGGGGTTTAGGGTTTAGGGTGTAGGGTTTAGGGTTTAGGGTGTTTGGGGGTTTGGGGGCTAGGGGGTTTAGGGGTTTGGGGGTTTAGGGGTTTGGGGGTTTAGGGGTTTCAGGGGTTTCAGGGGTTTAGGGGTTTAGGGGTTTCGGGGCTTGGGGGTTTCAGGGGTTTCAGGGGTTTAGGGGTTTAGGGGGTTTAGGGGTTTAGGGGTTTAGGGGTTTAGGGGTTTAGGGGTTTAGGGGTTTAGGGGTTTAGGGGTTTAGGGGTTTAGGGGTTTAGGGGCTTGGGTTTCAGGCGTTTCAGGGGTTTAGGGGTTTAGGGGTTTAGGGTTTTAAGGTTCCACCCAAAGTCCCACAGATCCTCAAAGTACACAGACCTACCACACAAGAGGGGCCGACCTTGCAGGTTTCCCGGAGGTTATCTGGGGCCCAGAGTAGGCCCTTATGCCCTTTGTATTCAGGTTCGCTTATAAGCCCCCTAAACCAAAGAGGGTTACCCTTTTCATTCTTAGGCTAGTCTTGTGTCTGGTTCGCATCCTATAGGGCGAATAGGGTTGAAGACATATGGGCTTGGGGCTGCTTGGGGCTCTTCAGGTAAATTGGTAAACCCGAAGTGCTCGCTCGACCCTACACCCCATCAGAAGCCCTGAGCCCCAAGCGACCAACAAACCCTCGACTGTCCCAAACCCTAAACCCTAAACCCTAAACCCTAAACCCTAAACCCTAAACCCTAAACCCTAAACCCTAAACCCTAAACCCTAAACCCTAAACCCTAAAACCAAGACCCCGAAGTCTAGACTCCAAACCCTACACCCTAGATGGCCCTAAGCCGGAGCTCGAACCAGGCTCCTCGTAGCCCTGGAGCGTCTCTGGGAGGAGTTCGTGTGAGCGGGGCTGGGTTTTTCAAGGGATCTGGGGCCTTTGGTTACCAAGAGCTCCCGCTCTTCAGCTGTCATAGGGGTCCTAGGGGTTTAGGGGCATGGGCTGGGCTCCGAGACATGATCCTGAAACTTGGACCCTAGCTACCCTATAAACTCTGAAAGCTCCATATACGGCCTCTTAAACCCTGGAACCAACCCCCTGAAGAACCCTAAACACTAAACCTGAACTCCTCAAACCCAAGACCCAAAGACCCGAGGAATCCCGCTTAGCAGCCTTCACTACTCCAACCATAACCCTAAACCCTAAAACCCTCAACCCCCAGGCTAGCCATGAACCTCAGGCAGGGCACTGAAAGACTCGCTGCCACTCGACGACTCGCTGACAAAATCTTCAGTGCTTAGTCTTGACTTTGGGGTTTAGGGCTTAGGGCTTAGGGTTTAGGGTTTAGGGTTTAGGGTTTAGGGTTTAGGGTTTAGGGTTTAGGGTTTAGGGTTTAGGCTTAGGGTTTAGGGTTTAGGGTTTAGGGTTTCTTGCGGCCGAAGGATCAAGGGATGAAGACTCGTAGCCGTAAGGTTGAACACTAAAGGCTCCCCAGAATAAACTCCTAATATGGCCCTTATACTACCTTAAAGATCTTCAAAAGATGTCCCCAACCCGAAGTCCTAAACCCGAAACCCTAAACCCTAACCCTAAACCCTAAACCCTAAACCCTAAACCCTAAACCCTAAACCCTAAACCCTAAACCCAAGGGTGCAACCTGAAGGGTCCAAGGGTAGAATCGCTACATTCTTGCGATCAAAGGAACCCCCCCAAAAGGCACTTGTTTTCCTTTTTTTAGGGTTGGGGTTCCGTTATAATCCCTTTAAAACAAAAAAGGGAACCCTTGTTATTCCTAGGTTACTGCCGGGTCTAGAAGGGGTTGATGGCTCATATAACCTAGTAGTTTTGCGTACGTATACCTTAATAGGCATTATAGTAGTATGGGGTACACATACCTTAGTAGTATTTTCGTAGTATAGGATATATGGCCCTAATATTTTGGAGTTCAATGTCTCCAAGGGTGTAGGGTTTAGGGTTTATATTTAGCTTTTAGGGTTTAGGGTTAGGGCTTAGCATTTAGTGTATCGGGTTTACGGCGCATCTTCCCTAAGCCACTGGCTCTAGAGCGGCGCCCACATGCGCACAGACACTTCACAACGAGCAGCTCACAAATGGCGGGTCTCTAGCAGGCACCTGCATAGCTTGTGCATTGAGAATAACTCGGCAGCGAGCCCTTGTGTGATTGCCTCTCCACGTGGCGCTCCTGTCGTCGGTACCTCGGTCACTTCTGGCTGCAATACCTGGGGAGAACTTGAGCAGAAGTGCCTTAGTTTTCACCAGGTGATGCTGACCTTCGCTGTCACGGCGAGGTGCCCAACCCAATGGAACCTTGGGGCAAAGTTTTCGCAGAGCAGGGCCTCTGCCTACTGGAACGCCGGACGTGCGGGCCCGCAAAGCGATCGCCGGACCCAAGCATCCAAGCTTGGGCTGGCAGCTTTGGCGGGAGCAGCCTTGAGCAGCCGCGCACGCGTGCCGGGCTCAGGGGTGCACACTCCTTCGCATTGGCTCCTAACTTGTTCTCCTCTGTCTAGTCCCAATTTTGTAGACAGCGGCAGAAAGAACTAAACCCTAAACCCTAAACCCTAAACCCTAAACCCTAAAGCCTAAACCCTAAACCCTAAACCCTAAACCAAATTATACGAGTGTCTTGGATTTGTTGCTGGCAGCGACTTCAGGGACTTACTAGGCCGGGCATCAGGGAAGAATTCTGAAGAATATCCCTTATGGTCCCCTACAGAATTGTGCTATGCTAGGCCCCGCAAAAACCCTGAACCCTAAACCTGAACCCTGAACCCGAGACCCTAAGCCCTAAACCCTAAACCCTAAACCCTAAACCCTGAACCCTAAACCTGAACCCTAAACCCTAAACCCTAAACCCTAAACCCTAAACCCTAAACCCTGAACCCTAAACCCTAAACCCTAAACCCTAAACCCTAAACCCAAACCCCAAACCCTAAATCCAAAACCCTATTTCGTTCATCTAGGCCGCTTTTTGCTGCCGCTGTTTGTCTTCAGAGGCGCGAAGAAGCCGCATTGTCAGGCTGGCCGAGCCGAAGTCTGCGACTCAAGGGCTTCGGAAACCCTAAACCCTGGGGGTTTAGGGTTTAGGGTTTAGGGTTTAGGGTTTAGGGTTTAGGGTTTAGGGGGTTTACTGGGAAGCCCTTTCGACTTAGCAAGCAGGCCTAGAGGGGCTTCTGGGGGATACTGAGTAGACTTCCAAGTTGGGTTTAGGGTAACGCTTTAGGGCTTAGGGACAGTGCGAAGGAAGGTGAGCAAGGTCCGAGTTAGATTCGAATTTGGGGTGCTTGCTGACAACACGGAACTACAAGCAAGAAGGAAGATACCGTAAGGGTTTAGGGTTTAGGGTTTAGGGTTCAGGGTTTAGGGTTTAGGGTTTAGGGTTAGGGTTGAGGGTTTACTTGCTCGCTCTTAGTAGGAAATGCGGCAATTAGGCAGCTTATATCCCCTTTCTGGATACCCTTGAAGGGAGTATATAGGGTACCTACTTCCCTTATGCTGTACGCAGAGCCAGGAAGTCTAGCGTGTTGCTAGGCTTCTGGCCTGGTCATTCCAGCGTTGCCATTTTTGAGCCCGAACCCCTAAACCCCCAAACCCCCAAACCCCTAAACCCCTAAACCCCTAAACCCCTAAACCCCTAAACCTCTAAATCCCTAAATCCCTAAACCCCTAAACCCCTAAACCCCTAAACCCCTAAACCCCTAAACCCCTAAACCCCTAAACCCCTAAACCCCTAAACCCCTAAACTTGAACCCCTAAATCCCTAAACCCCTAAACCCCTAAGCCCGAACCCCTAAATCCCTAAATCCCTAAACCCCTAAGCCCGAACCCCTAAATCCCGAAATCCCTAAACCCTAAATCCACATCGGTCCACTGA